CCTTCAGACTGTCTGAACTCTCACAGAATGCCAAGTCACAAGCACTTGCCCATCCATATGTGTGCAAGTAGTGCATCGTTTTAGGAAGACGACCACTGTGGCTCTGATTAATGATCCATCCATCCATCCATCCATCTATACGCCGCTTCATCTTCACTAGGGTGGTGGGGGGCTGGAGTCTATCTCAGGTAAAGGCAGGTTCACCTGGACAGGTAACCAGTTGATCACAGGGCTACACTTAGAGGCAATGGTGCTAACCACCGATCCACCTTGCAGCCTCTAATTCTAAAACTCCTGCTGCAACTCAATTTTAACCATTTTTTAGTTGATGTTTCTGTGAAAATGCAATTATTGTGAATCGTTTCAATTTTGAATCATCACACTGCAGATTGATATCCTCAGTTCTTTTACATACTGTATATGTTCAGCCCTATATTAGAATGATTACTCACAGCAAGCGCTGGTATGTCTGCTCCTGGTAAGCCTGGTTGGTTACGTAAGGTAAATAAACCCTTCTCAGAGCTGGGCAGTGGTCCAGAACGATGTCACACACATCAAATCTGAGAATGTCCTCCTCCAGCCTGTGCTCCAGGTCCTGGAGAAACCTGCAGACGATAAGCAGAACATAGACTCAGTATGAAGGTCCAGATGTTCAAACACAGGCTGGAGGAGGATAGAGGCACATGAGCTGCATATTACTTCACCTCTCACTGACATCTTTGACTTCAGGCAGCTTGGAGAAGAGCCACTGCTTATTCTGAGTCCCGAGACACTCAGCGAGCTCCTGTGACAGCATGAAGTGGTCCACGGCGATCGTCAAGCTACGGATGTACGAAGCCTCAGACGTCACCAACTCAAACTTTGCCTGAGTTGAGAAAGATGCAGTATTTCAGCTTTGTGAAGAGCTGCAGCAGTCAAACACACAATCTGTTCAAATAGAAAGGTTTCACTACCTCCTGCAGTTTTCTCTCCTCGTTGCTGAAGTTGTCGAGCTGACCGCTGGTTCGAACATCAGGTATGTCCTGCCACAGAGCAAAAGCAGATCCTCGCGAGGAACGAAAGGAGCTGGATGGAGACAGATTGGATGGAGACGGGGTTCCATCTGAGCCCTCGTCTCTGAGGCCCTCCTCGTCTGTGCCGGGCTCCTTCCCTTGCTGCCTCTGGATCTCTCTGTTGATGGCGACGTCGCTGTATTCCTGATACAATATCGCTGCAAAATCAAGAAGTTGAGAGTAAAGACGGCTGTTCTGGGGATTCGCTTGTAAGATGTGGTTTAAATGGCTGAAAGCTAAATATGTCAAACTTACAACTTGGCAGAAACCTTGATAGTCGATTTGAGCTGGGAACAGATGGGAGTGTGGCCACATCCTCCTCGATGGATTTCTTTCGCATTCTATAAAGAAAGCGTGAAATTACACAACCAGATGTTGTTTAACAGATTTTCTTTGGTAATATTTTTGTACTGTCGCCTACTATTTACCCAAGTTTTGTGCTCCACCGATGTATCCCATTGTCAGTGCAGGGCAGTGGAGGTGCCGGTCCTACAGGACTGTGAGGGGCGCTATCGCTAGAACCTCCTGAGCTGCGATGTCTGGAGTTGGACTTATCTACAGAGAACAAAAAGCAGGAGGTGCTAGTGTGAGGTCTGGAGAAGTATAAAGTAACCTCATGTATTAAAGACTCCATGATGTGTTGCTCGCAGTCTGAACTTTTCTGGAAGTTGGGCGAGACACTGAAGCCGAAGTTGCTCCCGATGGCAGGCAGCAGCTTGCATGGCAGCTCTGTGGCCATTGGTGTGTGAATGGATGAATGAGAAACATATTGGAAAGCGCTTTGGATAAAAGTGCTATGTCAGTGCAGACCATTTACTAAGTTTTGAGATGGGTTTGTGAGTCATTTGCAGCCATGTAAGGCTCACTGATGACAATCCACCCACCAAAACACTGCTGTGGACCAAGCAGACCCTGCAACAGCGCTGCCAGACTGCAGCAACCATTCATGCTCAAACTCAGGACCAATTAACCCACAATTAATTCCTTTGGAGAGCAGTAAGGAATTGAGGTGGTTGGAGAAAACTCATGCAGGTATGGGGAGAACATCCCAACAGGTTCTAATCCAGAACCTTCTAACCGACAAGACTCTTGTGCGCTACTACAGTCTGCTAAAGATGGAATTGTTTAGGTACCAAATGTCATGGCTTGATCCTTCTATTCATGACATAAGGGTATAAAATAAATAAATCATACACTAAGGCCTTCACAGTTTTAAACTGAACACCGATGGAGGATCAATACTAAAACGGGTCACTCCTCCACTAGTGGACGATCTGTGTCAGTAGCATTGAAGCTGTGGTCCCCTCATGAAGTCGCCTCATGTTGATTTCTGCCTCGCTGACCTGTTATTGCGAGCTGGGCTGTCCTGTTGTCTACTTACAGTCGGGGTTTGGGCCGAGGCTGTTGGAGCTCTGTCTGTCCCTGGAGGCTACTCGGGCAGACAGCGACTTCCCCAGCTTCAGGGTGAACGAGTTCTTCCTCTGAGACAGCTGCAGTCTGGATATCAGCTCTGAAGCCGAGAAGCGCCGCCGTTCTTGGTCCCCTTGACGGCCTCGAGGCACAAAGCTCCCGCCTGCGACGATGGATGTGTCCACGCTCCCTCTGTCCTCCTCCACTCCTGGTATCGAGTCCTCTATTATGTGCAGAGGTTCTGAAGGTAGACTAAAAATATCGTCATGACTGAGGTTCGGCAGATCCGTGACACCGTCTGTGGGTGAAGGACTTGAAACGGCCTCCAAAGAGGATAATCCACTGAGGTCCTCTTCCAGGAAGGACGCAAAAGGTCCAGGAAAGATGTATTCTGCATCCAGGACTGGGCTGCCGAGTGACTCGTCACTCAGACTGTCTGGGGAATAAACCTGCACTTTTCTCCCTGGAGACAAAAAAAACAACTTCGTTAGATTAAGATCAAACATGAACAGCGTTTCTATTTGCTCTGACGGTGAGAAAACTCACGGATAGACTTCTCTTTCAGTGAACCTTGTGACGTTCTCCTCTGAGGCTGGCAGGAATCCTGAAACCCAGGATATTCAGGTGAGGACGGGGAGCAAGGCACCTGAGCTTCCCAGGAGTCTCGGTTTGTGTACAGAGAGGACAGAGGGAACGACAGAGGGAGGCTGAGCGCTGCGTGGAGAGGACGACACACTGTTGTGACGGTCCGAGGCTTTTCACTCTGCTCCTGTAAAGTCCTGCTGCCATTCTGGCATTCGAGCAGCTCGCCGTCACCTGCAGCATGTGTGAGAGAGTCCAGATGTGTTTCACGCTCGCTGTCTGTTCTGTGACAGCCATTCTGCAGCTCATTCAGTTCATTCAGCGTGTGACTGAAGCCGTTCAGCGGCAGAGAGTGTGTCGTGCATTGTGCGTCTGGAGTCACGGTCGGCCTCGGAGAGGCGAAGCCGTTTAGTTTAGGAGTCGTTGGTGGTTGGAGTTCAATAAAAGCCAACGTTTCCTGCTGGCACACAGCGACATGCTTGTGGTGGCATGGATGGAGGAGAGGCCGGTCCTCCTGGGCCTCGCTCAGACCCGGGGACTCTCCTGAGCCTGGGATCCACATGCTGGGACTCTCTCCTCGGCAGCGAAAAGCGCTAAGGTGGGGCTGGAAATCAGGAAAAGGTGAGAATCCATAGCCAGGGAGCATGGCTCAGTGGGCACATGGGAGCTGCAAGAGGAGAGACACAAGACATCACTTTATTAATGTTAATGTTAATATAATAACTCATACACTCCTGAATTAAACACTGCAAAACAAAACTGACCAAGTTCAGACAGGAATGTATTCCTCTCAGGACTGAAACTACCACTATAATCTATACATGGTAACTGATCTGAGGGCTGCACAGTGGCTCAGTGGTTTGCACTGTCACCTCACAGCTAGAAGGATTCGCATCCTGGCCCGGGATGTTCTCCCCGTGCAGCGTGGGTTCTCTCCGGGTTCTCCGGCTTCCTCCCACAGTCCAGAAACATGCTGAGGTTAATTGGTGATTGTAAATTGTCCGTAGGTGTGAATGTGAGTGTGCTTGGTTGTCTGTCTCTAAGTGTAGCCCTGTGATAGACTGGTTACCTGTCCAGGTGAACCTGCCTTCCTCGCGACCCTACAGAGATTAAAGCGGTGTATAGATATGGATGGAAATCATCTTGGCCTTTAAAGCCTTGTCCAACTGCAGGTGAGGGTTGAACCACCGCTCTACCACCTGAGTATTTAAATGGATCTAACGTGGAGCGCACGTTTTATTTAAATTGTATGTGAATGTGAATATATGAAGACACACAAAGGATGTGAGTATCTCCGTCTGTGACCTCTGTGTTATCTGTACTGAGCTGCCAATCAGCTCATCAGCCAAATGAGTTTGAATTTCAGAGTTGTCTAAAACAATGTGTGGATTTCTATCTTTACCAGAAACAAACCAGTCAGTGTGACTGAAACCAGTCTGACTAAACCAACACAGCAACAAACATCTTATCTTGGACTCAGACACGGTTCAGTGGACGTGACTCAGTGTTAGCAGCTTGTTGCCAGAGGATTCCACAGAGTCGACGGTGTGCCGCATCACATTCACTTTAATAAACTATTCACACAGTCTGTGGACATGAAGCTGGTGGAGGTGGCACAGGAATGACTTTCTAAAAGGGCTTCTTCACATTTTTGGGATTCATTTAGGAAGACACACACACACACGGATACGAGAAGACCCCGAAACTAGTGACGCATGCAGGATGTTAAACAGTCGAACCCGGTCTTCACACACACACACACACACACACACAGTAGAGTCTGGTGTAGTGTGTCGTCTTCCTGCTCTAATTAAAGACTTCTCCACACACAGCACTCAGCCCCTGTACTTAACATCTACACAGCAGCAGCAGCAGCTCCAGATGGAATACCACAACACAGGGACAGACGTAGGAAGAGAGCGTATCCTCGGCACTCTCACCTTTCACCTGAGCGGTACACTCATCTATCACTCTGGTTGGTCGTCTACCTTCCTGTCAGCCGGTCGCTCTTCTGATTGAATATTTACAGCGAGCGTCTGTTAGAAGCCGGCAGCGGGTCATAAAGTCAGCTCTCCTGACAGCCTCGTTAAACACACACCAGTGGAGCTCTGGCTCTTCTTACCCTCCTGCTTCCTGAGCAGGTAATCCTCCACTTCTGCCTTAAACACCTGGTAACAGGAATGGGGCCGGCGCTAACCTACAACACACACACACACACACACACACACACACACACACACACACACACACACACACACACACACACACACACAGAGCTTCGTATGCACAGGAGGACGCAGAGGTTTGATGGTTTCCTTTGTCACATCCTCGCAGGCTCGTTGCTTTTATAACTGCAGATAACATCGCCTCATAAATTCCACTTCACAACATAATAACTAATCAGCATGTTTTTATTACATGTCCAGGAACCGTATCTTTTTATTATTTCATCTCCAGGTCAAACAGCATTCAGTCCAATCATTGCAAACTCTCCCCCATTAGTGCTGTTTTCCTGTGTGTGACGTTCTATTTGCTCAGAAGGTGAAGAAACAAAAGCAGCACTAACCTGGACGGAGGCTGGATCAGCTGTCTCATGTTTAACCCTCACTCTGCTGCTCTGTTTCGTTATATTCATTTTAATGAGCCTTTTGTTGACATTTTGAAGCTCCTGTAACCTTCTACATCACCTCAAAACACAGACTCTGTAGACTGTACAGTTTGGTTCACAAAGAAGGCTGAATGTTAATTGTTAACTTCTTATCTCTTTTTTCTATTCACAACCACACACACTGCACTCACTGTATCCTTCAGTTCGTGCATGTTTAACTGGACTACAGAGTTTATTCATCATACTAGAACACATCTTTAGGAGACGCATGTGTAAATGTCACGTTACAGTTAACAGCATCCGATTAACTGTACACCTGCATATTTACACAAACGTAGACTCCTTAGAGAGCGTTAATGCTTCACCTGTAAGTATAACTCCAGATCATCACAGGTTTGAATCCAGACTTCACCTTCCTGAGCGCACATGTGCAGTACGCTGTGAATATGAGGCTGCTGAAAAGCCACACCTGTTCTCGCTGCAAAGGTAGGCAGTCAATCCTATCTCTCTCTGTTACACACACACACACACACACACACACACACACACACACACAGGGCAGTGCAAGCACAAATGGTTACCTGTTCCCTGCCGCAGACAAAGGCGGCCTTTATCCAGGCTGCCCTGAGCACAGGACACCTGAGAGGGTGTGGGAACTGCTTATACTGATCCACTCTTCTAGTGCAGCCACTGAGCCATATAAACACATCCAGACCAGTGCAGCATAATGACACCAGCTTATTGGTGTCTGGATGTGATTACTGACTGGTTGTACCGTAATCCTGCTGTATGTTCAGCATCATCTAAACTTTACTCGCCTCAATCTAAAGTCTCCCGTGTAAGACCCAATGTGTCTACGGTGTGCTGTCTAGACAAAAAACAAAAAAACTTGATCTCAGTTTCCGTGATGGTGTCACAATCCTAATGAATGAACGTTCACATAATCCTCCACCAAACAGCCCCGTCGTCACTGCAGAGAATTTAGTTATCATCTCAGGACGCCGCAAACATCCCAAAAAACTGACAGAAAAGCCTCGCCGCCATATTTATCGCAACATGAAAGCATCCGATTACACGTACCGCACATTCCTCACACTCGCACGATTATATCGCGCTATTAAAATTTCAATTCCAAAGACGTGTAATTTCCCTTGTCACAGCAGGCTGTTATTTGTGACTGTGATGGACTTTGCTGCCAGAGCTGCTCCCTGTAATTTCACTCGGCGGCTCTAAGACACCGTGTCTGCATGCAGAAGTTAATGAATGGCGCTCTGGCACGCCTTTGATGCCAGCAGCCACTCAAGGAGCATTTTTAATTGTAATATTATTCATTTTGACGGCCTCAGAATAATCCTTTAATGGAGTGTATCACATGAATGTGAGCGTCGAGCCGCTGCTGATTCAGCTCCTCCACACAGCCACAGTCGTGTAATCACGTCATTAACGTTCGTTTGATGTTTGCCGGGAGGGCAGATGAGGGTGTTAAAACAAATGGATTCATTGCTGGAGCTGTTTGTGGTTTATCAGGATGAAGACATACGTTTCTAAATTGTTCTCCTCATGTTTGGAGGTGCGCTTTAAAGGGACGGTAAGCAAGACGCCTAATGTTCATACATAAACTGTTCATCATGTGTCTGTGGCCAGCTGATTCTTGGATCAAACAGAACTTCAGATGGACACTAATACCCCCTTTTCCACCAAGAACAACCAGGTGCTAGTTCTGTGCTGGTGCTGGTTCCAGTGCTTAGTTGGTTCTAATCTAAGAACCGGTTGCTTTTCCATCAGCAAGGAGCCGAGTTAGAGCCATACGTCACTGCATATGGAGCCGTTTACCGAACAACGCTGCCGCCACACGGAGTCCACACAGGACTCCAGACTGACTTTTTTAACGGTGTGACCAACTTTCTCATTTGGTCGCACTTCCTACCTCGTCACAGGAAAAACACATGACTTGCTGAACATGTTCTTATCGATAGACGCTACAATTTACGATGTTCCCTGAACGCCCCACATAGGAGGCTGGGTAGCTGCTGTTGGTGCCGTGGTGCTCAGACCAGTGTGAGACCAAAGATGACTTTAACAGTAAACCAGGACGTTCTGATGTCACATTGGTCCAAGATGAAACCCAGTGGTTTCTTCTCGTGCAGTCTTTTCTATGAGCAGAATAAACAGCATGTAGGTGAGCTCCATTTGTCACAAGAAGACCTCATTTCTAAGCGTAAATACTGCAGCACACCAAAGTTAGAAAAGAACTGTTTTCCACCACTGTGGTGCTGCTGGTGGGACACAGTTGGACCGGATTTCAGTGCAACAGTTTGTGCAGAACTTCCATGTGCCCCTGGACTCATTCCAGTACATCTGTGATTGGACCTGGTGAAAAACGACACAAATGACCGCTTGTGTGTCCCATCCATCGGTCTTGGTAGTCACGATAACCCGCCCCCAGCCCCTGACGGTACTTAGTCTGGCCCAGCAAAGAGCTGGGGCCTGAAAAGCACCAGTTTTGAGAACCTGGTGGTGGAAACACAAAGAACTGGTGCTACGTCAGGCACCAGCACTGGAACCAGTTTGGTGGAAAATGGACCCTCATACTACAACAGGTACTCATCCATCATCTGTGGCCACAGTCACGTTGCCCCGAGTGTCGAAGACAGAAATACACTCAGGACAAAACAGCTGGTTACGGATTGGGCTGTAGCACCGGGTCAGTGGTTATTCCTGAGGTTTTTGGACATCGCTCAGGATTTCTGGAGAGTTTAGAACTTCCTACTGTGTTTGGTACCACTGATGGAAAGCTTGTAGGAACAGGAGAACCTACAAAGTCCAGCAGCAACGACTTCAACTACAATTCTTTCAGTGACAGGCTCTCATCATAGCAGACATTTCTTTGACGCACCATTTGTTTTTCTTGCATGTGCAGTCAGTCCCAAACTCAGGGCTGCCTGTAGACGTCCATGCAGACCCTCGGGGATTTGGGGAGTGACAGAATTCACATCACACACACCCTGTCAGACAAAACATGAACCGGCCTTTAAACCTACAAACCGTGGCAGCTGCTC